GACACTCATGATACAGCGTCTTAGAGAAGCCCAGGACCAACAGGGCCCTGGCCCAGGCATCACGTCCTAGTTCAGACTTATCAAAGGGAAGTTGAAGGACATGGGGCAGAGAAAGGGACTGGCTTGAGGGCCTCTGCTGTGGCTTGCGGGGCATGAGGAGGGGCAAGTTGCCCTCCCTCCATACAGAGGGCAGAGCTCCTGTCTTTTCCTGGAATCCAACCCTGAGCATGTTTGAATCTGCTCAGTAGCTGCCATGTGGGGGGCATTGGAGGGGAGCATTCCTTGGCTCAAGGCTGGGAGCTGTGCTTTGTGGGTCACAAGGGATTTGAGACACAGAGGGAGCTGGGACTTGAGAGACTTCCTGTTTCTTTCCTGACCAGACAGGGCCTCCCATCCTGGGGTTTGACAGCAGTAGGGCTCCTTTTCCCTTCTCACAACCCTCTACCCCATCCTGACCCCGATTTCTTACCTCCCTCCTGTGGTCTATTCCTTGGAACTCAGGCTTAATGGAAAGTGTTAGAAACACAGTGCTGGGATTATTCTAGCTTTTTTGCTACTGCCCCTAAGATTCACATTCCTTCCCTCACTCACCCTCGTTATTTTGGCCAATTCAGTACTTATTCAGCCTTTGTTAGAGAGTGAGCTCAAGAACAAAACTAATCCTTCAAGTTGATCCAGAGCTGTAACTGAGTGCTTTCATACACCTTATCTCATCGGATCCCAGCAAGAGCCCTGTGAAGAAGGCACTGTTACCCCTTCTTACAGGAGAGGAATGAGTTCTCAGAGAGGTTCCACCACATCTAGCTGGGGTGGGGGTTACACGTCTGACACGTCACCTGGCCCCAAACTCACTCTTACGCCATGATCCTAAGTTACTGATATGGAACCTACTTCCCATTGATTATTTTAGTTAATCCTGGCAACAACTCTAAGGTATTATTGGCCCTATATTACAGAAGAAGCAGCTGAGACCCAGAGGTTAAGTATTTGTCCAAGGTCATGCAAAGGTTAAGGGCAGAATCTATCTGAACCCAATGCCTGTGCTAATAGTACAGAAGAGGAAACTGAGACTGAAAGAAGTCATTTGCCCAAGATCATTAGGAGGCAGCACCAGAATTCAAAAGCAGGTCAAAAATCCCCAAGTCCAGTGCTGTTTCAATTGCACCGCACTGTCTGCCCCAAGAACCTGTGGTGTGTGGCTCATTCATTCTGGTCCAGGGCGATCTCAAAGACAAAGGCTGCTCTACTGTTGGATTTAGTTCTTTGCTCAAGCTGTCTATGTTCCTCTGGCTGACCTCTCCCTTTACCACCACTTCTTACCACCCGCCAGCCTCAGCTTCTGGGTTCAGCATTTCTCCCTTCTCTGAGTTTGGGGACAGCCAGGTCTCTAAAGATCCACGAGATAATGAAAAAGAATGAGCAGGGGACCTGGTCCCCATCTGGTCTCACCACCCTCTTCTAGCATCAGAAAGAATAGTCATCTGAGTCCCAGAGTGGGAAGGAGGCGTCCTTGAGAGGGAACTGCTCCAAATCCTGGCTCTGAGCACACAGACATTGCAGCCCTATGGCCCCAGAGTGGCTGAAAGTGCTGGCCAGGCCAGGACAACATGAGCCCTAAGACTGGGCAGGATGGGACAAAAGATCTGGGACTTTCCTCAGCCCCTACCCCTGTCCATCTACCACTCTCCTCTTGGGGAATTCCAGCAGATAATCACAGGTACACCCTACACCCCCATCAAGCACTTAGCTCAAGCTTCTTATGCTCACTCCCTAAGGTTGGAAGGAAGACAAAATATTCATAAGCAAAGAGAATAAGAAAGGAAAGGAATAAAGTTTGGCTGGAGTCCCTTGATTTTGAACCTGAGTGGCTAAAAAACTTGACCATTCTAGATCCAGGATTATTTTTTTCCAGAGGAGAGACTAGAAAGAAACTCAAGGCTGGGAGCTGTGCTTTGTGGATCGCAGAGTTCCTACTGAAGAGCTAAACACTATTAATTTTTTGAAAATTTATATCTAATTAAATATTTTTATAAAAATGAAACGATTTACAATTTTAGTGTTCAGTGTTCATCTAGTTGTCAATGAAGAGGATAAGTATCATGTTTCATGTAGGTTACATCTAGACCTACAAATATAAAAACGTAAGAATAATACAAATTGTTTAACACTACAAAATGTTCCTCAGCCACCAAGTGCAATGCTGCAAATAACTACACTAATTTATGAGCACCTCCAGAACCAGAAGTTGGAAATCAAAAAGGAGCAAGAAAATGAATGCTCAGCACTATCGGGAAATAACATGTCATACAGGAATCTATTGCAGTCATGCTACCTGAGAGGAAGGATTTGACAAGTCAATTTTCTTTTCTCTTACCTAAGCACTTTAATAGCTCAGTTCCTCCCTGCACGTCAAAACCATGTCTGTCTCCAAGTTCACACTGACACAACCCACAAAACTTCAGTGTTCAGATGTAATTTTTTTTTTCTGAAAACATAGGGCAAGATATATGAAGAAGTGTTTCTCTGGGACCTGAACTGTGTTAGTCTCAAGAGTATGTGTTTAGGGAGACTTATTTCTCTGTGCTGAGTACTGAATCCCAAGTGACAGAAATGGTTTCTAATAGATTTCATTCTTTTATGGTTGTAATACATGGTTCCTTCTAACCCTAAAGAGTCCACCAAAAACTATTAAAACTGATAATTGAATTCAGTAAAGGAGCAGGATACAAAAGTAATATTTAGAAATCGATTGCATTTTTATACACCAATAACAAACTATCAGAAAGAGAAATTAAGACAATAATCCCATTTACAATTGCATCAGAAAAAAATACTAGGAATAAACTTAATCAAGGAGGTAAAAGATCTATACTTGGAGAATCATAAGACATTGAAGAAAAGAAATTGAAGATAGAAATAAATGAAAGCATATAGCGTGCTCATGGATAGGAAGAATTAACATTGTTAAAATTTCCATATTACCCAATGCAATTCCTATCAAAATACCAATGGCATTTTTCACAGAACTAGAACAAATAGTCCTAAAATGTATATGGAACCATAAAAGACCCCGGATAGCCACAGCAACCTTGAGAAAGAACAAAGTTGGAGGTATCACAATATCTGATATCAAACTATATTAATCAAGGCTATAGTAATCAAAATCGCATGGTACTGGCATAAAAACACATAGGTCAATGGAACAGAATAGAGAGCCCAGAAATAAACCCACGCCTATATGGTCAATCTATGACAAAGGAGACAAGAATATACAATGGGATAAAGAAAGTCTCTTCAATAAATGATGTTGGGAAAACTGGACAAGATACATGCAAAAAAAATGAAATGAGACCACCTCCTTGCACTGTGTAAAAGAATAAACTCAAAATGATTAAAGACTTAAATGTAAGACCTGAAACCATAAAACTCCTGGAAGCAAACATTGGCAGTAAACTCCCTGACATGACTCTTAGTCATTTTTTTTAGATATGTCTCCTCGGGCAAGGGAAGCAAAAGAAAAAATAAAGAAATGGGACTAATCAAACAAAAAAGTTTTTGCACAGCAAAAGAAACCGACAAAACAAAAAGACAACCTATTGAATGGTAGAAGATAATTCACCAATGATACATCCAATAAGGGTTTAATATCTAAAATATATAAGAAATTCATACACTTTAACACCAAAAAGACAGTATGATTTAAAAATGGGCAGAGGACCTGACTAGACAGTTCTCCAAAGAGGACATATGGATGGCCAATAGACATATGAAAAGATGCTCAACGTCACTCATCATCAAAGAAATGCAAATTAAAACCACAGTGAGCTCAGCTCACACCTGTCAGAATGGCTTATCATCAATAAGTCAACAAACAACAAGTGTTGGTAAATATTTGGACAAAAGGCAACCCTTGTGCACTATTGGTGAGATTGCAAATTGGTGCAGCCACTACGGAACAATATACAGGTTCCTCAAAAAATTTAAAATAGAACTACCATATGACTAAAAAATCCCACTTTTGAGTATTTATCCAAAGAAATCCACTAATTTGAAAAGATATATACATCCCTACATTCACTGCAGCACTATTTACAATATCCAAGATATGGAAGCAACCCTAAGTGTCCATTACAGATGGACCAAATATGTACCAAAAGATGTGGTACATATATACAATGGAATATTATTCAGCCATGAAGAAGGATAAAATCTTACCATTTGCAACAACATGGATGGACCAAGAGGATATTATGCTAAGTGAAATAAGTCAGGCAGATAAAGACAAATACCATATGATTTCACTTATATGTGGAACCCAAAGAACATAATAAGTCAACAAACAAAGCAGAACCTAACTCAGAGATACAGAGGATAAGCTGATGGTTGCCAGGTGGGAGGGTGGAAAAGGTGAAGGGATTAAGTATGAATTGACAGTTACAAAACAGTCATGAGGTGATGTAAAGTACAGCACAGAGTCAAAAATATTGTAATAAGCTATGTNTTTCTTTTCATCTTTGAGGTTACATGTGTGGTTTGGTTGTGTGTTGTGTTGTGTTGTGTTGTGTTGTGTGAGGCAGGTTATAGGCATGAGAGGTGATAGTGAAGTTCCTAAGTAGAGAGCCCCATAGTTACCCTGGGCAGTCGCTCTTCCTGTTCCCCTTGTGCCCCTAGTAATGTGGGGATGGGGGTTGGAGTAGCGCTGGCTTAGAGATAAATCTCACTGGGGACCATGGCCTAACAGAAAGAGAATTAGAAAGATCATTTCCCCTCAGAGGAGAAATTATTTGCATGATTCCAGAGCAGGAGATGATTTTTGAACTCCTCAGGGATTTTCTATTATTTACCCTTACTGCTCTTTGCCATGGGCGAGGATCCCAGAGACATGGCCAATATGTCACAAAAAAAACCTCACTTCTTAGAAATGGCATCTCCCACCTTGTTACCTACCCCTGGAGGGTCAGAAGCCAGTGGTTTCAGGGGGCATGGGGTGAGGGGAGTGCCCTGTAATAACACTTGTGCCTTAGCAGTGGGCTCTCTCCTCTCTTCCCCAAATCTCTTTTCCTCAGCATTCACGGATTGAATGAGAAAATCTCAGTCCAAGCCTATGAGACCCAGGTGAAATTCATCTTTGAGTTTATCCAAAATGCTGACACAGAACTGGAGCCGGCTCCTCACCAGCATGAACTGTGAGGTCCAGGAGCCAACTGAATCGGGGATGCCTTACCCTGGGCCAGGACTAACCCAAGGGGGAAAGCCAATGCTGACAAAACTTGGGGTCAAAACCACATTGTAATACATCTCCCACATGTCTTGCTTACTCCTAAACTCACCCAAGAACAAGACCAAGCAGCCAGGGAGGGCCAGCAGGAATCTTGCTTCTCTCTACCTCCCAACATCTCCACCCTCAACTGACCCGCATTTTCTGCCTTCTCGTCCCTGTTTTAGAAGGTATCTGGCTTGTCTGTCTTATGCTGGTTATTTAACTGCTCCATACCCCAGGCCTGACTTACCAAATGCAGATTTGAAAAACCTTAACCAGGTTTTACCTGCTGGAACTGTTTTATTTTAGGGCACTCTTGCCAGGTTACCTTCTCTGTGGCTTATATATTTCTTCTTGCTGTAACTTCCTGTCCCTGTTTCCCCCTCTCTTCCTGGATTATTTAGCTGGCTCTTCATCTCTCCTCTCCTGCCCCTGCATCTCACCTCACCCTTCAATTTATTCCACAGGACTTAGTCAAACTGTGATATTACTGTAATTACAACAATTGGTCAAATAAAGTGATCTGTGCAGCTTCAACCTGTCACCGAGGGGTGAAGCTGAGGCAGCAGGCTTTGGAGGAACCCCAAACCTCCTGGTTCTGGAGCCTAGAGAACAAAGTCTCTGTCCTTGGGCTCCTCCCAAGGGCTCCCTCTAG